TGAAAATGTGTATATTAACATAATATACAACATTTAATGAGATTTGGTGATTATTATTATTATTATTATTATTATTATTATTATTATTATTATTATTATTATTACTAATATGGTGTCACTCGTACAAGTCTGGATACCACATCTCATATTTGTTTATTTATTCTACTGTGGGGTGTATTTATCATCTTTATATGTTATGTATAGTGTTTATTATATAATTTTGAAAAACTATCATAAATGGATCAATGAAAATATGTATATTAACATAATATACGACATTTAACCCTTTGGGGGTTTCGGATGTACTAGTACATCTTATGACCCAGGGTTTTTGACTTACTAGTACGCCTAAATTCTAGCGCCCTCAAATCTAGTGAGAGAAAGCTGGTAGGCCTATATATGTAAGAACGGGTCTATGTGGTCAGTGTGTGCAGTATAAAAAAAATCCTGCAGCACACAGTGCGTAATGAGAAAAAAAAAACTTTGACCATGTTTTTGGATTAAAACAGCGACTTTGCACTGTATTTTCGTATGGTATTTATTGTTGTATTCTAGTTTTCTTGGTCTCATTTTATAGAATGGAAGACATATTACAGAAATTGAGATGATTTTGACTGGTTTTACAATGAAAAGTACCTTGAAATTGAGTTCAAAGTAGCAGAAATTTTCGATTTTTACCAAAGTTCAAAAGTAAACAAATCATGCCAAGCTTCCAATACACATCAACTGGTGAGTCTAATATTCTTTCACAAGTGCGCCGATATTATTTATACCATTTTTTACACTAATGCAGTAGTCTGCATAACAGTAAATCTTCTATTTTTTGTGAGAATAAAAATTCAAAGTGGAAAACAAAAGAAATGTAAGAGGGGATGTGACTAACGAACAGAGAACTTGTTATTTTAGTGCCAGGAATGTCTTTCTTGTTTATTCTGGACCCTATTCGGAAATTGGCATCTTTTGAAATTTGTGTGAAATTGGCAAAATTGCTAAATTCTGACCACTTTATTGGATAGTTGAAATCGGTAAATGGGTGGTTTCTTGTACTCATTCGATAGGAATAATGGAGTTCTAGCGAAAGAGTTATGATTTTTGTCGACTAGTACAGTGGAATTGGCCGAAAATAGGGCTCAAAGTGGGCAAAATCGTCGATGCATAAACATCATCGAGACCGCTAACTTCGCGAGAGCATAATTCCGTAAGTTTTCCATCAAATTTCATACTTTTGGTGTCATTATGATCAGGAAAAGATTCTCTCTTTTCATAAGAAAAAATAATATTTTTTTTTTAAATTTGGGGACCCTGAGAACAAGTCTCTGGGGGGACCTGTCGACCCCCAAAGGGTTAACGAGACTCAGTGATTATTATTATTATTATTATATTATTATGGTGTCACAAGACATAAGACACACTTACTGATTTTAATATGTACCTTCATGCCAGCACAGTGTGTAAGTTTATTTAGGTACAGGTATACATAAGTATAATTATCAGAGTATATATAAAATACCTAGGTAGTAGGTTGGTAGACAGCAACCGCCCAGGGAGGTACTACCGTCATGCCAAGTGAGTGTAAAACGAAAGCCTGTAATTGTTTTACATGATGGTAGGATTGCTGGTGTCCTTTTTTCTGTCTCATGAACATGCAAGATTTCAGGTATGTCTTGCTACTTCTACTTTCACTTAGGTCACACTACACATACATGTACAAGCGTATATATACATACCCCTCTGGGTTTTCTTCTATTTTCTTTCTAGTTCTTGTTCTTGTTTATTTCCTCTCATCTCCATGGGGAAGCGGAATAGAATTCTTCCTCCGTACGCCATGCGTGTTGTAAGAGGCAACTAAAATGCTGGGAGCAAGGGGCTAGTAACCCCTTCTCCTGTATATATTACTAAATGTAAAAGGAGAAACTTTCATTTTTCCTTTTGGGCCACCCCGCCTCGGTGGGATACGGCTGATGAGTTGAAAGAAAGAGAGATATATAAAATAACTTTTAAAAACACTTGAAATTTTGGAGTTTCCAGACATAATGGAGAGACTTAGTGCTTACCGATCTCAGAGAATGTAAACAAACCGGGTGGGGCATGGTGACCGTATTAGAAAGTCAGGTGGGGGGAGCCGTATAGAGAGTTTTGGTCATAATTTGAAATGACCGTATTAGCGGAACACTGTAAAGCAAAATGCCTTAAATCGAAATGCCGTAAAGCAGGGCCCTGCTGTACTTCATTTTATTTAGAAACTGCAGAAGGCGGTGGAAAAATTAAGTCTTACAAACATAGTGAAAGCCAGAATTATTCAGCACCTTCTCATTGCATATGTACATAATTTTTTCTATGGTTTTGATAATGCAGCAGCTAGTTCCTTATAGTTGTCCAGCATAATTAAGGTCTAAGGTCTCTGCAGTTGTTTTGTGACATACAAGACACCTATTTTGGTTAATGCTTGACTTTTGACATTTAGTTTCATCAGCAGGATGAATAGTACTGCCACATACAGGTGCATCTTTCTCTAAAAAAGATTGCAGATATCATCATCTTTAATATTATCCAGAATATTTGTGTATTTTCTAATGGAAGGATTGATCTCTTTAATCTTGAAGATGGTATTCTCTGGCTATTAAACTATTTAATTGCCTGATGGATGTATCCTAAATTGTTTTTCACTCAAGTGAATTGAATTCTGGATAACTACATTGCAAGATTTATCTTACTGGACACAGTACGTATTCATATTTGATAACTATGGGAGCTGGAGGTATTGGATAGATGGCGGGAATATTTTGAGGAACTTTTAAAGGTTGATGAAGAAAGGGAGGCGGCAATTTCATGCACCGGCCAGGGAGGCATAACATCATTTAGGAGTAAAGAAGAGCAGGATGCGAGTGTGGGGGAGGTGTGTGAGTCATTACATAGAATGAAAGGGGATAAAGCAGCTGCAACTGACGTGATCATGACAGAAATGTTAAAAGCAGGGGGGGATATAGTGTTGAAGTGGTTGGTATTTTTGTTTAATAAATGTATGAAAGGGGAAGGTACCTAAGGATTGGCAGAGAGCATGTATAGTTCCTTTATATAAAGGGAAGGGAGACAAATGAGATTGTAAAAATTATAGGGGAATAAGTTTACTAAGTATACCAGGAAAATTGTACGGTGGGGTTATTATTGAGAGAATTAGAGTTAAGACAGAGAGTATGATTGCAGATGAGCAAGGAGGCTTTAGAGGGGGAAGGGGATGTGTAGATCAAGTGTTTACATTGAAGCATATATGTGACCAGTATTTAGATAAAGATAGGGAAGTTTTCATTGCATTTATGGATTTAGAAAAGGCATATGATAGTGGACAGGGGAGCAATGTGGCAGATGTTGCAAGTGTATGGAATAGGTAGTAAGTTACTAAATGCTGTAAAGAGTTTTTATGAGGATAGTGAGGTTCAAGTTAGGGTGTGTAGGAGAGAGGGAGATTACTTCCTGGTAAAAGTAGGTCTTAGACAGGGATGTGTAATATCAGCATGGTTGTTTAATATATTTATAGATGGGGTTCTGAAGGGGGTAAAATCTAGGGTGTTGGGGAGAGGGGTGGGATTAAATTATGGGAAAAAAAGTACAAAATGGGAGTTGACACAGTTACTTTTTGCTGATGATACTGTGCTTTTAGGAGATTCTAAAGAAAAGTTTCAGAGGTTAGTGAACGAGTTTGGGAGGGTGTGTAAAGGTAGAAAGTTGAAAGTGAACACAGAAAAGAGTAGGGTGATGAGGGTATCAAACGATTTAGATAAAGAAAAAATGGATATCACATTGGAGAGTGGAAGTATGGAAGAAGTGAATGTTTTCAGATATTTGGGAGTTGTGTCAGCGGATGGGTTTATGAAGGATGAAGTTAACCATAGAATTGATGAAGGAAAAAAGACGAGTGGTGCATTGTGGTATATGTGGAGACAAGAAACATTATCTGTGGAGGCAAAGAAGGGAATGTATGAAAGTATAGTACTACCAACACTCTTATATGGGTGTGAAGCTTGGATTATAAATGCTGCAGCGAGGAGGCAGTTGGAGGCAGTGGAGATGTCCTGTCTAAGGGCAGTGTGTGGTGTAAATATTACACAGAGAATTCGAAGTGTGGAAATTAGGTGTGGAGTTAAAAGTATTAGTCAGAGGGCTGAAGAGGGGCCATTGAGGTGGTTTGGTCATTTAGAGAGAATGGATCAAAGTAGAATGACATGGAGAGCGTATAAATCTGTAGGAGGAAGGAAAGCAGAGTAGGGGTCGTCCTCGAAAAGGTTGGAGGGAGGGGGTCAAGGAGGTTTTGTGGGCGAGGGGCTTGGACTTCCAGCAGGCATACATGAGCATTTTAGATAGGAGTGAATGGAGACGAATGGTTTTTGGGACCTGACTAGCTGTTGGAGTGTGAGCAGAGTAACATTTAGTGAAGAAATTCAGGGAAATCGGTTATTTTTATATAGCTAGACTTGAGTCCTGGAAATGGGAAGTACAATGCCTGCACCTTTAAGGAGGGGTTTGGGATATTGGCAATTTGGAGGGATATGTTATATATCTTTATATTTGCTTCTAAACTGTTGTATCTGGGCACCTCTGCAAAGGCAGTGATTATGTGTGAGTGAGGTGAAAGTGTTGAATGATGATGAAAGTATTTTCTTTTTGGGGATTTTCTTTCCTTTTGGGTCACCCTGCCTCAGTGGGAGATGGCCGACTTGTTGGAAAAAAAAAAAAAAACTAAGTCCTGTACATACTCATTATTAGTAAGTAAATTCACCAAATCAGATTCTCTCTCTGGTTTTCCTTTCACAGTCTGTATATCTTCAAAATTTCTGCACACCATCATATATAGGCAGGTGTAGTAACAAGTTTCTAAAGATATTCTGCAATCTCATGTATAGTTTACATATGATGCTCATATGAGAAACCAGTTTTATTTTGTACTTGTGATCTCAAACTGAATTCACATATGATCCTTTATTATCAATACCTTTTCTTGACAG